ACCAGGACTAAACCAGGACTAAACCAGGGCTAAACCAGGGCTGAGGACGGGTCAGTGCTTGTAAACATATGTCTTTACTCTGAGTGTCTTCTATGACTGTAAAAGTGCCGTTACCGGCGTCTGCATCAAAGCTCCGCCCACTTCCGTGTTTTTCCCCAACGCAGGACAGGACGTAAGAGACGCACATGTTTGGAATGTTACGAATGTGATTGATAACGCAGATGTGTGGATGCAAATTATTTTATAAACTGAGGAGGGGAAATATTTGGATTAAAAAAAAACAGGCATGGCACATGGACATGGCACCACAGTCAAATGACATCTGTGTTTTACTCAGTAATGTTTTACTGACACTTAGGGGACTGCACATGCGCAAACACAGTGCAGGAAAGCTAAACCACGACAAACTTGTCAGCGAGCTACCACCAATTTTCCGGAGTATGCATCCCTGGCCGATTCAATTCAGTGCAAGTCATAAGAGTAAACTCGGGAAAAAAAATGTACATCGGTAATTGTGTTGTGTTGTGCTATATTGGCTCATGCGGTTTTGCATGTACATAAACATACATTGTAGATATAAAGAATATTTTTTTAAATAAATATATGATTTGCATTTTTGTAGTAGGTAGATCATTTTGACTTGATCCTTTTATAAGTAGCTCGCATGCTGAAAAAGTGTGAGCACCCCTGGACTAGAGAGAGAGACCAAAGAGAGACTAGAGAGGCCACAGAGACAAGAGAGAGAGACCACAGAGAGACTAGAGAGGCCAGAGAGAGACTAGAGAGAGACCACAGAGAGACTAGAGAGGCCAGAGAGAGACTAGAGAGAGACCACAGAGAGACTAGAGAGAGAGACCAAAGAGAGACTAGAGAGGCCAGAGAGACTAGAGAGGCCACAGAGACTAGAGAGAGAGACCACAGAGACTAGAGAGAGAGACCACAGAGAGACAAGAGAGGCCAGAGAGAGACTAGAGAGAGAGACCAAAGAGAGACTAGAGAGGCCACAGAGAGACTAGAGAGAGAGACCATAGACAGACTAGACTGGAGAGAAAGACCAGAGAGAGAGGACAGAAACCCTGGAGACCAGAGAGAGACCAGACAGAGACTAGAGAGGCCAGAGAGGGACCATGCAGCGAGAGACTACAGAGACCAGAGAGAAAGACTAGAGAGAGACCATAGAGAGACCAGACTAGAGAGAGAGAACAGAGACCCTAGAGAACAGAGAGAAACCAGAGAGAGACTAGAGAGAGAGAACAGAGACCCTAGAGAACAGAGAGAAACCAGAGAGAGACTAGAGAGAGAGAACAGAGACCCTAGAGAACAGAGAGAGACTAGAGAGAGAGAGAACAGAGAGAAACCAGAGAGAGACTAGAGAGAGAGAGAACAGAGACCCTAGAGAACAGAGAGAAACCAGAGAGAGACTAGAGGGAAAGAGAACAGAGACCCTAGAGAACAGAGAAAAACCAGAGAGAGACTAGAGAGAGAGAGAACAGAGACCCTAGAGAACAGAGAAAAACCAGAGAGAGACTAGAGAGAGAGAGAACAGAGACCCTAGAGAACAGAGAGAAACCAGAGAGAGACTAGAGAGAGAGAGACTAGAGAGAGAGAACAGAGACCCTAGAGAACAGAGAGAAACCAGAGAGAGACTAGAGAGAGAGAACAGAGAGAAACCAGAGAGACTAGAGAGAGAGAACAGAGACCCTAGAGAACAGAGAGAAACCAGAGAGAGACTAGAGAGAAAGAACAGAGACCCTAGAGAACAGAGAGAAACCAGAGAGAGACTAGAGAGAGAGAACAGAGAAAAACCAGCCAATACCATGTGGTCTATATTTTTGACCTGTGTTGGTAATTTCAATGGTTTTGTTAAGTCTCTGAGATGATGCTGTTGTGATTTAGGGCTATACAAGAATACATTGAATTGAATTGAATTACCTCCAAGACGGCGGAAGTTGTAAGCATTCCATGATATTCTCACATATGAATTATTGTTGAATAACATGAAACACCATTAAACCTCAATGTCATCTCATTCATCTTCTGATTGACTTCTCTTCTCCAATCACAGTAGCCACGGCAACATGATTCACTGAGATCCTCAAAGTGTTGACTCTCAAAAACTGTATACTTTCAAAAGATCCCCACTTAGCTTTGGCAGAGACTAGAGAGAGACCAGAGGAATCAGAGAGAGACCAGAGGAATCAGAGAGAGACCAGAGGAATCAGAGAGAGACCAGAGGAATCAGAGAGAGACCAGGGGAATCAGAGAGAGACCAGGGGAATCAGAGAGAGACCAGAGGAATCAGAGAGAGACCAGGGGAATCAGAGAGAGACCAGGGGAATCAGAGAGAGACCAGAGGAATCAGAGAGAGACCTGAGGAATCAGAGAGAGACCAGAGGAATCAGAGAGAGACCTGAGGAATCAGAGAGAGACCAGAGGAATCAGAGAGAGACCTGAGGAATCAGAGAGAGACCTGAGGTATCAGAGAGAGACCTGAGGAATCAGAGAGAGACCAGGGGAATCAGAGAGAGACCAGGGGAATCAGATAGAGACCAGAGGAATCAGAGAGAGACCAGAGGAATCAGAGAGAGACCAGAGGAATCAGAGAGAGACCAGGGGAATCAGAGAGAGACCAGAGGCATCAGAGAGAGACCAGAGGCATCAGAGAGAGACCAGAGGAATCAGAGAGAGACCAGGGGAATCAGAGAGAGACCAGAGGCATCAGAGAGAGACCAGAGGAATTGGGCGTGAGACCAGAGAGAGAGTACATATCTCCTCATATTTTCAACAATGGAGTCTGTGAAGGAGCCACTGCTGCAGCTGCTGAGGTCACATCTGCAGGAGGCTTTGACCACAGCGGAACAGTGCATTGTGGATCTGGTGGAGTGGTATCTGCAGGGACTGGAGCCACAGGGAGGAAGACAGGAGCCTCTGAGTCCAGCTTCAGGTGTGGTCCTCTTCTATACACAACACAAAAGCTATTCTAGATCTGACAAACTGTAGGAAAACTATGCAATTGACTTATTGTAACTTATCGTAACTTAGCACATCGGACTCTGGTTAAAATCATCTCCATTAGAGGAATATTGAACTGGCTATGGTCATGTAGAGTTCTTAGGTTCTTCTTGTACCCATCTTTACGGATGTCCTTCCAGTCCAGTCTTGTGAACACTTCTCTCTCTACAGATGCAGTTGAACCTGTAGCTCCTCATTCAACACAAGAACAGGAGTTTGTGCTCAGACCCAGTGACGACGAGGAGCAGAACAAGTCTTTGGTGAAGATCAAAGAGGAACCCGGAGCAGACTGTGTTCAAGCGACGGACACGATTCTCCAGCAGGATGCTCCAAACCCTGAGCCTGAAGGACCTGGATCAACAACGGACTCAACATCTGACAGAGGCAGAAGCGACAGAGAAAGGCAGCGTGCAGAGAGGATGTACCTCTGTGAAGTCTGTGGGAAACCTTTCCAAAGCATGTGGCATCTCACAAGTCACCACCGTGTCCACACTGAAGAGAGACCTTTTCCCTGCGACGCCTGCCCAAACTCCTTCAAACGGAACCATGATCTTCAGAGACACAAACTCCTCCACACTGAAGAGAGACCTTTTCCCTGCGACACCTGTCCGAAGTCCTTCAATCGGAGAGACAGACTTAAGACCCACAAACTCTTCCACACTGGAGAAAGACCTCATCCATGTGGCGTCTGTGAGAAGTCCTTCAGAAGCAGAAGTGAAGCAAACAAACACAGGAAAATTCACGGCCAGAGAAGCTTCAGTGGATCAGAACCAGGCAAAGGAGAGTCTGCGGAGGGCGGAGACTCAAGCAGACCTCACTCCACCTGCTGATTTTGACAGAGATTTTCTTTGATGGTTGAATAAATGATAGTAATAAATGTTTTCGAGCACAGATTAAGCCTGTTGTCTGTGTTCTGTTCTTGAAGATGAGATGTTATGGTTCTTATAAGCTGTGCTAAAACATACCGTGTCTTTACATAGATACATACTTTACTGGATCCCATGTCAACGGAAAAGTACAATATAAATCTTTAAAGCAGTTGACAAGTCTTGACATTAACCCAAGAATTATGGAAAGGATGACACTTTGAATTCAGAGAGAAAGAGAGGACATTGTAATTCATGGGTTTTACATACTGTATAGTTTTTTTTGGACGGTGAAAGACTCAAATAACAGTAGAAAAGTTGTGACATTAAACAAAATAGCAGACTCTAGCATCTGAAATTAGACTTTGACATCACTCAGATACCTCTGCAGACAATCACAACTTACCTCAGAGTGTTTTGACAATGAACTTGAAATGGCCAAGCCCTCTACATAACGCTCTGGATGACAGCAACAGCAAGCCAGTATTTACTTTAAGGGAAATTACTTCTCGAGGTTTTGAAAATCATCTCCTCTTTGAAAAGCTCTGAGGCTCCAGATGTCTTAGGTCTGATCCAATGGCACACTTAATAAAACAGGGTAGAGTGCCATCTATGTTCACCCCGGTCCTCAAGGCTGGTGACAAGACCACATTAGAGGATTATCGGCCGATAAGTATCTTGCCAGTCATTTCAAAAGTAGCTGAGAATTGGATTGCATTGCAGCCAACAGACCATCTAAGCATTGGGCATAACTCACTCCATCTAATGCAGGTTGGATTTCATAAAAACGACTCAACTGAAACAGCAGTTTGCTGATAACTTTGAGAACATCAAAGGTTTATTGGATCAAATACAAATACAAATCATGGCCTCATCAATTTGGAGTAGACCCTGAGAAATTGCCCCAAAAATGTTTAGTTTTTTGATAGAAGTCATTTATGAACATTCTTTTTTTAGCTTTAATCACTTTTACTGAGTCCAAAAACTGGTGAATATAACTTAAAATACTGCAAAAAGTATATATTTTTAAAGCTACCAAATGCTAACTGTTAGCAAGTAAACATCATGTTGCTATGGTAACGAGTACTGTCTTCTCTGAGAGGTGAAGGAAGAACTGCCCTCATGATAAGTAAGTAAGTAAGTAAGTAATCTTTATTTATATACCGCCTTTTCACTGCACATCGGAGTCTCAAAGCGGTTTACAATTGTTATTTCATGATAACGTTATTTCATGATCATGATATTTGTGAAAGTATGAACTATATAAGATGCTTTAAACTAAAATGAGGACTTCACACTGTCAGGTCCACAGTGCTGACTTGTACTGCCATCTGCTGGTTGCAGGTGGTTACATCATGTCAAAGAGGAAACTGGGATTTTTTTTAATTCTTCTATATATTTCTTTTTAAATCGTGCTCTACATCCTTCTGGTTATTTGACTAAGCTATGGTGGGAAACATGTCTCTGTAATACTGTTTTTTTTTTTTACATATTCACAGTTCCTAAACTCCCTCCCTGGACTGCCACCTTAACGTGGTGGGGGAGTTTGAGTACTCGGATGATCCTGGGAGCTATGCTGTCTGGGGCTTCATGCCCCTGGTAGGGCCTCCCATGGCAGACAGGTCTCAGGTGACGAGTCAGACAAAGAGCAGTCCAGAAGACACCATGGACAGCACAAATATGAAAACAGTCACGTCGCCCGGCATGGCGCAGCCGGGGCCCCACCCTGGAGCCAGGCCTGGTGTCGGGGCTCGTATGCGAGCGCCTGGTGGCCGGACCTTAGCCCACGGGGCCCGGCCGGGCTCAGCCCGAAGGGATGACGTGGGCAGTCCCTCCTGTGGGCCCACCACCTGCAGAGGGGTCCGTGGTGGCGCGGTGCTGAGAGGACTGGGCGGCAGTCGAAGGCGGAGACCTCGGCGACCCAGTCCACACACTCAACATCTGGCTCTTGGGATGTGGAACGTCACCTCACTGAAGGGGGAAGGAGCCCGAGCTCGTGGGGGAGGTTGAGCGATACCGACTAGAGATAGTCGGCCTCACCTCCACACACAGCTTGGGCCTGTACCTCTGTCTACCCTACCCTACTCTACTCTACCCTACCCTCCTCTACTCCACCCTACCCTACCCTCCTCTACTCTACCCTACCCTCCTCTACTCTACCCTACCCTCCTCTACTCTACTCTACCCTCCTCTACTCTACCCTACCCTCCTCTACTCTACCCTACCCTCCTCTACTCTACTCTACCCTCCTCTACTCTACCCTAGCCTTCTCTACTCTACACTACCCTCCTCTACCCTACCCTCCTCCACTCTACACTACCCTCCTCTACCCTACCCTCCTCTACTCTACTTTCCTCTACTCTACCCTCCTCTACACTACCCTCCTCCACTCTACACTACCCTCCTCTACCCTACCCTCCTCTACTCTACTTTCCTCTACTCTACCCTACCCTACCCTCCACTACTCTACACTACCCTCCTCTACCCTACCCTCCTCCACTCTTCTCTACTCTACTCTACCCTCCTCTACTCTACCCTCTCCTCTACCCTCCTCTACTCTCCTACCCTCCTCTACCCTACCCTACCCTCCTCTCCTCTACTCTACTCTACCCTACCCTCCTCTCCTCTACCCTACCCTACCCTCCTCTCCTCTACCCTACCCTCCTCTACTCTACCCTACCCTCCTCTCCTCTACCCTACCCTCCTCTACTCTACCCTACCCTACTCTACCCTACCCTCCTCTACTCTACCCTACCCTCCTCTACTCTACCCTACCCTCCTCTACTCTACCCTACCCTCCTCTACTCTACCCTACCCTCCTCTACTCTACTCTACCCTCCTCTACTCTACCCTACCCTTCTCTACTCTACACTACCCTCCTCTACTCTACTTTCCTCTACTCTACTTTCCTCTACTCTACCCTACCCTACCCTCCTCTACTCTACACTACCCTCCTCTACCCTACCCTCCTCCACTCTACACTACCCTCCTCTACCCTACCCTCCTCTACTCTACTTTCCTCTACTCTACCCTCCTCTACACTACCCTCCTCCACTCTACACTACCCTCCTCTCTACCCTACCCTCCTCTACTCTACTTTCCTCTACTCTACCCTACCCTACCCTCCTCTACTCTACCCTACCCTCCTCTACTCTACCCTACCCTACCCTCCTCTACTCTACCCTACCCTCCTCTACTCTACCCTACCCTCCTCTACTCTACCCTACCCTCCTCTACTCTACCCTACTCTCCTCTACTCTACTCTACCCTCCTCTATTCTACCCTACCCTCCTCTACTCTACCCTACCCTCCTCTACTCTACTCTACCCTCCTCTACTCTACCCTACCCTTCTCTACTCTACACTACCCTCCTCTACTCTACTTTCCTCTACTCTATCCTACCCTACCCTCCTCTACTCTAAACTACCCTCCTCTACCCTACCCTCCTCCACTCTACACTACCCTCCTCTACCCTACCCTCCTCTACTCTACTTTCCTCTACTCTACCCTACCCTACCCTCCTCTACTCTACACTACCCTCCTCTACCCTACCCTCCTCCACTCTTCTCTACTCTACTCTACCCTCCTCTACTCTACCCTACCCTCCTCTACTCTTCCCTACCCTCCTCTACCCTACCCTACCCTCCTCTACTCTACCCTACCCTCCTCTACTCTACCCTACCCTCCTCTACTCTACCCTACCCTTCTCTACTCTACCCTACCCTTCTCTACTCTACTTTTCTCTACTCTACACTACCCTCCTCTACTCTACACTACCCTCCTCTACCCTACCCTCCTCTACTCTACACTACCCTCCTCTACCCTACCCTCCTCTACTCTACTTTCCTCTACTCTACCCTCCTCTACACTACCCTCCTCTACACTACCCTCCTCAACTCTACACTACCCTCCTCTACTCTACCCTCCTCTACTCTACTTTCCTCTACTCTACCCTACCCTACCCTCCTCTACTCTACACTACCCTCCTCTACCCTACCCTCCTCCACTCTTCTCTACTCTACTCTACCCTCCTCTACTCTACCCTACCCTCCTCTACTCTTCCCTACCCTCCTCTACCCTACCCTACCCTCCTCTACTCTACCCTACCCTTCTCTACTCTACCCTACCCTTCTCTACTCTACTTTTCTCTACTCTACACTACCCTCCTCTACTCTACACTACCCTCCTCCACTCTACACTACCCTCCTCTACCCTACCCTCCTCTACTCTACTTTCCTCTACTCTACCCTACCCTACCCTCCTCTACTCTACACTACCCTCCTCTACCCTACCCTCCTCCACTCTTCTCTACTCTACTCTACCCTCCTCTACTCTACCCTACCCTCCTCTACTCTTCCCTACCCTCCTCTACCCTACCCTACCCTCCTCTACTCTACCCTACCCTCCTCTACTCTACCCTACCCTCCTCTACTCTACCCTACCCTTCTCTACTCTACCCTACCCTTCTCTACTCTACCCTACCCTTCTCTACTCTACTTTTCTCTACTCTACACTACCCTCCTCTACCCTACCCTCCTCTACTCTACTTTCCTCTACTCTACCCTACCCTCCTCTACCCTACCCTTCTCTACTCTACCCTACCCTCCTCTACTCTACTTTCCTCTACTCTACCCTACCCTCCTCTACACTACCCTCCTCCACTCTACACTACCCTCCTCTACACTACCCTCCTCCACTCTACCCTACCCTTCTCTACTTTACTCTACCCTCCTCTACTCTACCCTACCCTTCTCTACTCTACACTACCCTCCTCTACTCTACTCTACCCTACCCTCCTCTACTCTACTTTCCTCTACTCTACCCTACCCTCCTCTACTCTACACTACCCTCCTCCACTCTACTCTACCCTCCTCTACTCTACTCTACTCTACCCTCCTCTACCCTACCCTACCCTCCTCTACTCTACCCTCCTCTACCCTACCCTACCCTCCTCTACTCTACCCTCCTCTACTCTACACTACCCTCCTCTACTCTACTCTACTCTACCCTTCTCTACTCTACCCGCCTCTACCCTCCACCCTCCTCTACTCTACACTACCCTCCTCTACTCTACTCTACTCTACCCTTCTCTACTCTACCCTACCCTTCTCTACTCTACTCTACCCTCCTCTACTCTACCCTTCTCTACTCTACACTACCCTCCTCTACTCTACTCTACTCTACTCTACACTACCCTCCTCTACTCTACCCTACCCTCCTCTTCCCTACCCTACCCTCCTCTCCTCTCCTCTCCGACCCTAACCTACCCTACCCTACTCTACCCATCGGGGGAGAGCAGTGTAGAGCAGTAGCTGGAGGAAACAGGGCTATATATCGATAGTCCTGGTCTCAGGTCTCTGTCCTGAAGTCCTCTCACATTAGTCCTGGTCTCAGGTCTCTGTCCTGAAGTCCTCTCACATTAGTCCTGGTCTCAGGTCTCTGTCCTGAAGTCCTCTCACATTAGTCCAGGTCTCAGGTCTCTGTCCTGAAGTCCTCTCACATTAGTCCTGGTCTCAGGTCTCTGTCCTGAAGTCCTCTCACATTAGTCCTTGTCTCAGTTCTCTGTCCTGAAGTCCTCTCACATTAGTCCTGGTCTCAGGTCTCTGTCCTGAAGTCCTCTCACATTAGTCCTGGTCTCAGGTCTCTGTCCTGAAGTCCTCTCACATTAGTCCTGGTCTCAGGTCTCTGTCCTGAAGTCCTCTCACATTAGTCCTGGTCTCAGGTCTCTGTCCTGAAGTCCTCCCACATTAGTCCTGGTCTCAGGTCTCTGTCCTGAAGTCCTCTCACATTAGTCCTGGTCTCAGGTCTCTGTCCTGAAGTCCTCTCACATTAGTCCTGGTCTCAGGTCTCTGTCCTGAAGTCCTCTCACATTAGTCCTGGTCTCAGGTCTCTGTCCTGAAGTCCTCTCACATTAGTCCTGGTCTCAGGTCTCTGTCCTGAAGTCCTCTCACATTAGTCCAGGTCTCAGGTCTCTGTCCTGAAGTCCTCTCACATTAGTCCTGGTCTCAGGTCTCTGTCCTGAAGTCCTCTCACATTAGTCCTGGTCTCAGGTCTCTGTCCTGAAGTCCTCTCACATTAGTCCTGGTCTCAGGTCTCTGTCCTGAAGTCCTCTCACATTAGTCCTGGTCTCAGGTCTCTGTCCTGAAGTCCTCTCACATTAGTCCTAGTCTCAGGTCTCTGTCCTGAAGTCCTCTCACATTAGTCCTGGTCTCAGGTCTCTGTCCTGAAGTCCTCTCACATTAGTCCTGGTCTCAGGTCTCTCTCCTGAAGTCCTCTCACATTAGTCCTGGTCTCAGGTCTCTCTCCTGAAGTCCTCTCACATTAGTCCAGGTCTCAGGTCTCTGTCCTGAAGTCCTCTCACATTAGTCCTGGTCTCAGGTCTCTGTCCTGAAGTCCTCTCACATTAGTCCTGGTCTCAGGTCTTTGTCTTGGCTGTGAAACATAGATGTTTCACAGCCACTAGCAACTGCTTCTTGCTGTTCCATACACAATAGGCTACCGAGACCCGCAGCTGTGTGACTTACTAGAGGCTCAGAACTGTTTTTGCTTTTGTTTTTGCAATCTGGAGTGCTCTGTACCCGTTTAAAAAAGTTGAGCTTGAAAAATAAAAGAATAAAAGCTTCTCTAATGTATTTGTTTTATTATTTTCCTAATTCAATGTAATATTGAAAACCTTGGTGTTTTAGTACCCTCGTCGCACAATGTTGCCCTTAAGCAATAACATTAAATCCGCCATCAAATTAATTTTACTGAGCAGAAATGAAATGATCCGAGCATATTCGGGCGCTTCTGTTTTTGAGCCGTGTGAAGTAAGGACGGCTGGCAGTCGGTAACACAACTTATTTTCCCTGTCTCTCCTTTTGCTGCAGCCAAAAACGGCACAAATTTTCAACATGTTTATGCTGTCCCGGGTGCACGCCACTATCACACCGTGTTGTCCTCCAACATGGCGGAGGCCTAGCGACTTCTAGCCCTTGTGACGTCACGCGAGAAATCTCTATTGGCTCCAACCAAACTGAAAGTGAGTGCAGACATATTCAATTTTGATATTCTTATTTTTAGTTACGACTGTTGAAAGTTGAAAAATACCCAAATGAATGTGGTCTTTCTTTTGAGGCGATCGGAAAGTAAAGAACCACCTCACTTTTGGACGCTACTCGTCAGTATTTTCCTGATTCAGAATAAAACCAACACATATAATCTGTTTACACACATATAAGAGAGTATATATATAAGGGTATATATTACATATATATATATATATATAAGAGTCACACAGACAGAAGCTTCAGGTGGTGGTTAGTCTTGGAGCAGGTGGATAATCCTGAGTGAAAGAGCAGCTGGTGCTTCATGGTCCTTCATGGTGTCTCTGAAGACTTCACAAAGACAGCTCAGTCCGTCTGTAATCTGCCTTTTGTCACGGCTCTAATCAGATCAACTGTTCATTAGTTTATGAAATAAAGTGTACACAGGTTTATGTGACGCTGGATCTGCCACAAACAGTGACTCGAAACATTCATCCTCGAATGTAGAGATAGAACTGGACTCGTCTGATCTCGGCCTCATTCTTCTGTGGAACTGTTTAAAATCCAAATATTGGATTTTTTAAACTAAATGTAAAACGTCTTTATTGTATTGATGTTGGAAAAATAAATATGCAATTTATTATAATATGATATACATGAGTTTTTATTTATTATGATTTTTAATTCTATGTCATGTTGTTGTCTGCAGTCTGATATTTGATTGTTTCTGTTCTGTATTGTCCATATTTATGTTATGTTATATATTGTCAAACCCTCCTGAAGCATCTTCTCTTTCAGTTCCTCAAGAACACTGTTCGGTCTGGGTCTGTGTCTGGTCTAGGTCTGGTCTGTGTCTGGTCTTGGTCTTAATCCGGTGTGGTCTTACCCAGGAGAGCGTTGAAGAGCTGGCTCTGGAACACACTGATGACCCTCTCCAGACTGCGCTGCAGCTGCTGGTCGTCCTCCCCTCCTGGAGACTGCGGCCTCTGGGTCAGTCTGAGACGGTACTGCTGCAGGAGCTCTAGGGCGCGCTGGGCGTCTGCAACCACACTCACATTAAAGCTAAGGTACATAATTTTCACACCACACCAAGAACTCTGTAATAAAATCCATGTCTCTGGTTCCTGCTTGCTTCTATCACTAGTTTTCATGTTTCTCTGTCTCGTCATATAAGCCCATGTGGGCTGGGCACTTTTGTGCATGACACTTAAATAAATAAACTCAAACTCTCTCAAGACACATTTCACAAAAAATGTCTTACATTTGAATATAAGGTTTTACATTTTTCTGTTAACAAAATGGAGTAGAGACTCAGTATTGTAGACCGCTGAGCTGCATATTGATTACTTTTTTTACTTCTAAATGTTTAGGGTTCACGTTTAATGCCATATTTTAGATATTAATAGAAAATGAAATGAGCTCAAAAAGTCTGTCTAATCTTCTCACATGATTTTCTTTTCACATTATTTTGACCAATTATGTGATATTGGAATATTTCCCAAGGCACACCAAACAACATCTCAAGGCACACTAATGTACCACGGCACACTGGTTGAAAAACTCTGAGATAGACAGTATGATGTGCAGACTATTATGAAGCTTACAAGTTAAGTACCAGTGCCTTTTTTTCCACATTTTAACCTAAAATACATTGACTTTATACAACCATTTCCCCCAAAAAACCACGCAGAGTAATCTCAAGGCTCCAGGACGAAAATCAGTGCAATCCCTGGGTCATGGAGGTAGACTGACCGTGCCATCCCTGGATCCCCCCTCGGACAGGGCTTTCTGCAGCTCTGCCTTCAGGTTGTCCCGCTCCATGCGAAGCTCCTCCAGGGACAAGTTGTATTTATTCACCAGCGTCTCAAACATCTCCAGGACTCGGACTATCCTGGACTGCAGGTCCGACACCTCCTCTCCAGACCTCTCCAGACCACTGATCTTCCGCAGGTCCCGGCCGATCACGTAGGAAATATTGTACACCTCCTCCACGGTCAGATCGAAAGCGTCCTTCTGAAAAGCCACCGCGGGCGACGTCTCCGCTCCAAACACCATGACGCGGACAAAAAAAATCAACAAATGAATTAAATAAAATAAAAATAAAAATCAAGGAAATGGCTTTGTTAACGTTTGTAAGCTGTCAAAAGTGTCCGGTGTTCTGTCGCGGACGGGAAAGTTTCAGAACAGCACTTCCCCCATCACTGACCACGTGACCGCGCTTCACGAGAGGAGGGCAAATTATCCTAGCGACAGGTGAGCGGGGTGCCAGGTTTGCACAGAATCAGCAAGACAGTCACTCACAATTGCCTTCAGCCGTTGTAAAACTTCTCGTTGAGCGACTGTTGCTATGAAAGCTATGAAATGTGCTATTTAAACACATTCTCCTTCAACCCACACAATTTTCAATAGATAACATGTCCAGGCATAGATTGATTGGATGATATTCTCTCAAATGTTGTTCTTTGTTTCATAATTTTGGGACAGCTTTGTGCTTTTACAGGTGTCTGGACTTGGAGTGAAAGGGCGCCCCCCAGTGGAGTTCCCTGGTTCGAGTCTTTCCTTTTCCAAACATGTCCAAAGACGACTGTTTATTTTATTCCCCAATAATAAAAAGTAATTGGTTCTAAATTTGTCTTAATATTTATAAATAACTAAATATAACATGTGTGAAATGCAGTTTAACAGACCCCAGCTAAATGGAGGCTGTAATTTCACAAATTGTTATTTTTTTTTTATTGTTCACATTATTCAGTCAATGTGAACAGCAGAAAAAACCTGTTATTTTATCTTTTGAGAATTCATTGTAATTCCAGTCTGTGGCCACACGAGGGCGCTTCTCAAACTCTCGTGGTCATACCATGGATGTATTATAATGCCTACAGGTGGGTCTGCACTAAACACGTGCGGCTTTGATTATATATTGATTACATACACAGTTAAATCATTTAGAAGCATCACCAGTCTTTTTAAAGCACAGACATTTGGACTAAAAGTAATGAATAAAAGTAAAAAGAGGTCCAGTTTAAATGGCATGACTTTTCACCAAACACATGTGACATTTAAGAATATTTTAAGTAACGAATTATTCCGTTACACTAAATTACTCGGCTCGGTCTATTCCTAGTGTGCCGTCACCACTTCTATAACTCTGCCCTAACTATGTCAAATTTAACAACTCACATTATCTTTTGTGTGCCCTTGAAGGACCAAACTGGACTGACAACATTCGCCATGTCTTTAAACAAGTGGTGCACGAAGAGCAGCAGAGGCACAGGAGGCAAGAGGATTCAGGTCTACTCTTGTTAGGATACTTTGTTTATTCTTCTGAAAGCACACAAACTCAAAAAGACAAAAATAATTCACTTTATTATTATTTTTTCACAATACCCTCAAACATCTACATTTAAAAACACATGCAGGACTAAAGTGACAATAGCATGTCAGCACTATTGTTCAAAGTACTGTTCTTTGGGGGGGAAGAAGACACGATCAATATTCATTCTCCAGTTAAAACAAAACAAGAACATTTAAAACGTATAAAAAATATATAATCGTGATCTTGTCCATGTGCATTTGTGCTTAAAATAATAAATAGTGTTAAAAGGTTAGCTGATGGAAACCAGTCTTCTTATGGGCATCAGGGCGGGGTCATCAGAGATCAGACCAGCTGCCACCATGGGCATGATGGCCGTGAAGATCCTACACACACACACACACACACACACACACACACACATGTACATACACACACACACACACACACACACACAAACACAAATACATCTGTCAACACCAAAAAAGCATTTGAATTTAAACTAAAATACCACCTTTCTGTATTGTTTACTGATTTTTTTAGGGAGCATAAATGACTGCATATTAAAGGGGCTATACCTAATATTTTACCATCTTAACATATAGTCCAAGTTTACGCAAGTAGTTGTGGATGCATAGACTGTAGAACAAGTGGACTAACTGACCCATATGGTTTTACTAATGCGGAAAATGCAGATTGAAGCCAACTCAAACTGGCTCCAAGAGTGGGAATGTGCTGCCAAATGACATAGCAACAACCTAGCAACCAAAGAGCCAATCAGGAGTGATGTTAGTCCAGCTCTGGTTCTCCCAGTCTTGCACAGAAGGCAGGACCAGAGTAACACACGAGTCATGATCATATATAACTCATGTATATACATATTGTATACGTTATGACCAAACAGTGCGCTACTGATCAGAGCGGAGAAAAGGATTTAAAAGTTTAAAATGTTTAGAATGACAAGGGACACTAAAATCCACACGAGATCTGACCTTTGAGGCCTATTGTGATAGCATCGACTTTTAACTCAAAGGAGAGGTGGGAAGCTCTGTGAAAGTGGAGGTTACATTATAAAAGAGAATCAAGCAGGCGGACGATGCTTTAGTTTACTTTAGCTCAGCAATAGACCCGCAAGTGGCTCAAGAGCTGCTTATACATTATATCTGCACATTAAAGAGCCTCTACTTGACTTTTATACAGTGACTTTTATACAGTGACTTACAGTTTGCGTATGCCGGACTCGGGCTCCTCCTCAGCAGCAGCAGCAGAGTCTGTGTTATCCTCGTATGGACCACACACACTCTCACTGTAGTCCTCGTCACTCTCCCTGCAGCACACAGCAGAACTGGGGCTCTGTGATCTTCAGGAGGCAGGATGATGTCCATACAGTTTTTCGTTCAATATTTTTGGATCATGTAGATAAGCCCTTATTCTTTGTGGGGGGGGGGTAAAGCTTTCAATGAATAACACATTAAGGTCTGGACCGGGGGTTTGCAAACGTACACTGAACTTACAGCTGCAGCTTTGAGAATTTTACAAGTTTATCTTAGAATAAACTGTAATGTTATCATAAAAAAACTATTGTGCAGATTAGAGAAACTATGAAACTGGCCTTGAATATCTGGCATTTACGTGTTTGGTATTAATCTCAATGCAACTCGTTTGATGAATGGAGCTTTGAGATTCGGTGGATTACATACGATAGTCTAAGTGACCCCACATCTTTGATCGTCCGTGCATGTACATACTGTTTGTAGTAGGCCAGCTCCTCCTGCAGCACCAACACCTGGGCCTTGAGCTGGTTCTTCTCATACAGGACGTCCCTCAGCTCCTGGAGGGTAAAGTGTGGGGCCTCTGACTCGGACCCATCACTGTCTGTGTCGTCGTTTCCCACAGATGAGAGATCCTAACAACAAGACCATTTGTATTTAATGGAGACATAATGAATCCACTTGATACAGCCTTTGACAGTCACTATTGTTTGTCAGTTAGTTAGACACCTGTTCAAAAGGTTTGGTTGCGTCTCTTCGCAGTCCGCTTTGGGCTCTTGTTCAAAGCAGTTGGCCAAAAACTGTGGATCTCCCGCACACTCCACCCAGACCGACGAGGGCGTCTTCACTGTGGGGTCTGAACCAGCGAAGGCCTGAAGGCACAAAGGATGGAACATGGTTGTGACATTTTCACGGTTCAAATACAGTACCTCCGTCTCAGGGTTTTTCTCCTCATTCATGACCTTCTATTGACGACAACTCATTAATGGGCAATAGTTTTGTTTTAAAAGGCAGAAAACTTATGTGGTACTAGGGGTGGGAACCTAAGGGTACCTCACAATACGATACGATACACAGCTCACGATAACGATAATATCACGATAACGATATTACGATAACAATTTTATGACGATTATTGATATATTGGTCAGAAATATACAATATGCCAATTTATGGCATAAATAAAAGAAAAAATACACTTTATTTTATTATAAATAGACTAGAGATACTTAATATATGGCTACATTACGCATTGATACCAATTAAAAAAAAATCGATATCGATACTTGGCAAATGCATATTGATAATCGAA